TAGTAACGCATTTATAAGGAATAACTATAAGCAAGCTTGAAATTCAGTATATGTCATTTCGCCGAAGTGTAAACAATTTTTTTTCATAGTGTTAAACATGTCGAGTTTCGTGCCAAAAAAAGAATATTTGCGGGGAATTTTACTGTATTACTTTATTCAAAAAAAATCTGCAGCTGAAGCACACAGAATTCTTGTTGAGACTTACGGCGACCATGCTCTGTCGAAAACAACATACAGAGATTGGTTTAGAGGCTTCAAAAATAATGATTTTGATGTTGAAGATAAAGAACGCTCTGGCGTACCGAAAAAGTTTGAAGACAAAGAATTGGAGGCATTACTTCATGAAGACTCATGTCAGACGCTAGCTGAACTTGCAGAATCATTAGGAGTTGATCACACAATAGTTTCGAAACGTTTGAAAGTATTAGGAATGATTCAAAAGCAAGGACATTGAGTGTCGTACGAGTTGAAACCGAGAGACGTTGAACGGCGTCTTTTCAAGTATAAACAGCTGCTTCAACGGCAGAAAAGGAAAGGTTTTTTGCATCGTATCGTGACTGGCGATGAAAAGTGGATACACTACGGTAACCCTGAGCGTAGAAGATCGTGGGGTAAGCCCGGCCATGCATCAACATCGTCGACAAAGCTGAATATCCATGGTTCGAAGCTTCTGCATTTGGTGGAATTAGTTGGGTGTAGTTTGTTATGAACAAATCGAACGAAACCATCACGGGAGATCGCTATCGACTACAATTGATGCGTTTGAGCCGAGCATTGAAGGAAAAACAGCCGCTATACGAGCAGGGACACGACAAAGTGATTTTACAACATGACAACGTTCGGCCACATGTTGCACAACCGATGAAAACCTACTTGGAAACGCTTAAATAGAAAGTCCTACCCCACCCGCCGTATTCACCAGACATTGCCCCTTCCGATTATCACTTGTTCCGATCGATGGCACATAGTCTGGCTGAGCAGCACTTCCATTCTTATGAAGATGCCAAAAAATGGGTCAACTCTTGGATAGCTTCAAAAGACATGTCGTTTTTCCGACGTGGAATTCAAATACTGCCAGAAAGATGGGAAAAAGGGGAGCGGTGCACTTGGACACGGTGCATTTGGACACAGCCAATCACAGCACCGTGTGATTAGAGACATTTGTAGGGTCCCTTGGAACAGCGACTTGTGATTGGACTGTGTCCAATTGCCTCGTGTCCAACTGATATACACCCGGGAAAAAGTAGTGGCTAGCGATGGACAATATTTTCAGTGACATGTTTTTTACGACGTTTTTTAAATAAAGCATTAATTTTCACGAAAAATCAGCGAAAACTTATTCAAGGTCCTAATATTGCTGGTAATATATGCCGAGTAAGCAATCTGTGTGCAGACTGACATCAGATTGGCAACAGAATCTATCGAATTCGAGCAGGATCTGTCGACAGATCCATAGACATCTGCGTCCCCAATCTGCCGTCAGACTGCTGACAGAGTCTGCTTCCCAGGTAGAACACAAAGTCATATAAAAGTCAAAATGACGTCAAATGATATAAAAGTGACATCATTTTGACGTCAAACAATATCATTTTTATGACAATGATGTCAAAATGATATCATCTTGACATCAAAATGATTTTGTGTCCTGGGTAACAGACTCTGACATCATATTGGCGGCAGATTGCGCGCAGATCCTATCGTTTCGTAGGTTCTTCAATTAAATTTTTGGTAGAAGATTTTCTCGTAATTTTTTATAATTACTTATAGAATGAACGTTTCTCATAAATACTCATAAATATTCGTAAAATACAATGAAAAAAAAGTTTCTCTATATTACTTTTCCATAATTTTTAAGATTTTCTCTGGTGAGATTCGAACTTGAACCGAAGACATCTTTTGGATAATCGTCCGTCGCCTTAAACACTATGCCAATTCCTCATTTGATAAAAAGTGCTTTGTATTACCCACTTAAAGTTTAAGGAAGAAAAGTCTTAGAGTTTGTTCGTCTTTTAAACCGCAAAATATAGATAAATTTAGCGTATAAATAATTTAAGAGAGACCGGCACAATAATTCGAAATTAATTTTCTATAAGGGACTGTATAGAAAGTTACTGCAATGAAACAGCAGATAATGACATTTTTCCATCATGTTAATAAAATACTGTGCTTTTATATGTGCGAATTAATTTGATCGATCGTCCAGTTCAGATTGTATTAAATTTTATCAAAATCGAAGCATGATATATTTTCAAATAAACCATCACAAAAATTCTGTAAAAATTATTTACATGGCAAGACTAATATTTTATTCGATTCTGCTGCCTTCAATACTTATTGCATGACAGTTAAGGAGGCAATATCGTTTCTCTGGTCAAAAAAATCGATTTTTCTTTGTTTACATTTTACTGAACTATGTATTTTTAAAAATCTACTCCTACTTATCGCATCGAAAAATTCGAAAAATTACGTAAATTACAGCCTATTGTTCGAAGCAGCGCGCAGGTCAAATCCAGCGCTCAACGAGTCGTTTAAAATTTCGTCAGATATATGCGGTCCACGAAAGCCTATGAACCTTAGATAACAAAAAAACGACTCAGGTGTGTTTGATCTATGGGCCTGGAATCGCTGATTAGGTTGAAACTTACATAAATACTAGAAATATAAATTTAAATAGTACCTGAAACTTTAAACGCGTTTTTCTCAAAACGATTTTTCTCTAACTGGCACGCACGATTTGAGACAAACTGCTGAACCGATCGACTTCTGCTTATAGCTACATATTCAAAACATGTGCTATTTTCGTTCAAACCAGCAAAATTAAAATATATTACCTTTTTCTATTTATTTTCAATGAAAAATTGTCAATTTTTAAAGCGATTTTTCGGCGTTTTTTTCAAATACCTACAACTTGCTGACAAACGACCCGTTTTCAACATCCCTAGTTCCAGCGATAACTCAGTGTCACTAGTTTAATAATCTTTTTGGCTTTCTTGTTTCAGATTAATGAGTCATGAGATATCATACGCACTATGGAGCAAAAACCGATCATTTCAGTTTCACATGTTTTTCAATAACTTTTATACTTCGCAGCGTATATACTTATAAAAATTCTGACATACAAATAAAATATGTAGTATATAGCGTGTCAAGTTTCAAAATAATCGGCTGCGTGGTTTCCGAAAAAAAAAATCACAAAAATAACCTCCTTTTTTGGCCGAGAAACGGTATTGCCCCCTTAGATCGTTCAGATTTAATGACATAATGACATTAAAAAAAATAATAATATGAGAAATTGTATGAAAAATTATGAGAACAATTTTCACCAGGAATGGCATATGTACGTCTTTAAATAGGAGCAATGGCGTAGAATCACTTAAAGCAAAGTGCTTTCAGCCAAATATTGAAACTGAAACTACGTCTTTAAATGACCATTTAAACTGGCCATTTAACCATTGTACCATTCTATATCCGTACTCGTTATTTCTCTATTGTTATTTTTTATAAGAAATGTGTAATACAATTTTAAAAAGTAAAAATTGTTTTTTATTGTGTATATGTGTACAATTATTGTACAATATAATTATTTGGACTTCTCTCAGAGTTTTACACGGTGTATATGTGAAACTACCCCATTTAATAGCGTACATATGGCCCTTGATAGAATTAAATAGCCTATCTATGAAACAGAATCTGCGCGCAATCTACCGTCAGTCTGTCGTCAGGTTCTGCGCGCAGTTTGTCACCAATCTGTCGTCAGAACAGATTCTGTGTGCAATTGTTGCCATTCTGTCTACAGACACTGTTGACAGACTCTGCGCAAAATCTGCTCGCGCAGGTTTGGCTATCTGGGTGAAATATTTGAATTAAAGAGTTTATTTTTGTAGGTATACTAAATAATATTATAAGAAAATTATAATTATTACTTCGGCTGCATTTAGGGATAATAAAAACACTTAATATTAGTTAAAGAAATAGTGCAGTAGCCAAGGTGATGAACTAGGAACCTAAAGGTCTCGAGTTCGCGTTCGAACCAGTATTTTGAGTAAATTTTCAGGTGTGAAAATAGTGAGAAATCAAATAAAAGAGCTAAATTTCATTTTAAATCAACGTAAGATGACTAGTTGCATTCGTTTCTGCAAGATATGTTTATTAAAAATAAGAATTTTATTACAAATAGATGCATCACGCAGGGTAATATACGTTGGCGGATAACCAAGCGTGCCACCATATTTGTGTACAGAACTTTCACAATACTCGCACGCCATGTCAACATATTGCGTTGTCATTGTGCTTGTCATATACGGTTGCAGCTGGATAGCACAACGACAGCATGCATGCGCGCACCGTGCAATTATCGTGTAAACGATTTGGTTATCGAGGTTTATTTAATATCCAATAAGCAACAAAGATAAAATGACGCCGCGTCGTTGCGAGCATTAAGTGGAATCCATCCTAGATAACGCAGTTTCGTAGTTTTCTCTTTTCTTCTAATTGGTTGCATCAAATTAAAAACGCTTTTACAGGATGAAAGTAAAAGTGTTAATGAATGACTGGTGCTAAACAGTTGCATGAAATCAACAAAAATTTGTTATTTACCGACCAATCATAAAAAAGTTTTTATTGATTAGCATCAATCATTTGTAGTACCGTCATCCTGTAAAGGCGTCTTAAATTTGATGCATCTAATTAGAAGAAAAGAGACTACGAAATACTGCGTTACATCGGTATCCAGCATCCCTTAAGAATACATCCCTTGTGAAAACGTGTCCGCGTCGGTAAGCTCCGTCGGTATAAATTCGCGATCAGGGTAGTGTTCTGTGCACGTTTACCGACAAACTGTCACTTCGGTACTTGTATCGTGGCGCAGCTACTTTCTGACGCGATTATATCTGCGCAACGAAACACGGAAATCGAACCGACTGTTGTCGGTAAACGTGTACAAAGCCGGGATAGCCGCTCAGAGTCGCGCGAGGTGGCGAAAGTCGCTCGCACTGTTGGCGGCGTCGCTGTCGGAGCAACACAGTGTCGCCGAACACGATGCACCCTTGATGCACCTCGCGCAAGGCACACACGCGAATCTACCTGACGTACGAGCACCGGGATATCACACAGTCGCGTTAACTCGCGGCAACGCGCGCGGCCGGTGCGACTGTCGCTGTCATACGTCGTCGTCGTCGACGTGCGCCACGCGTCTCGCCGAGCCACGGACTCTCGGCACCCGATTCGGCACCCTGTGATCGGTGTGACTGCTCCGCGGGCTACTTGCCGCTAAGTACGTCGCCAAGAAGCGCCATTTTGTGATCGCGCGTCAGGACGTAAACATCGGTCTTTCCAATTGTATTCTGCGCTACGCGGACGGCACGTCGTCGCCGTGGCCGCACCGCACTGACAGTCCAGTGCGAATCGCCGGCGCCGTTCCCGCGTTCCTGACGCCTGTTGTGACGCACGGCTGCTCCGTGCCGAGCCGTCGCGACGACATTTCGCGCCAAATCCCATCGACGCACCTGGCGCTGACGAGCGAGAAGAAACAGCTGTCGTTGCGTCGCCGATCGCTAAGCTATTCCGACGGCTCCGACGCCGTGCCCGGCTATCAGGTAACGCTTCCCGACGACCAGCGAGCGTTCTCGATCGTGTGTTATCGAGCGACGATCGCGTCGCTCCGGGCCGACCAAACAACTCGAACGGGCGCACTGTTCCGATTTCACGCGTGCCTTACGTCTCGCCTTGTTTACGCGTGACGCGCGCCTCCGGGGACGATCACGCAATTTCGCGACGTTTCGGGATCAGCGGTGTTTTCTACTTTTATTCGCTACTCTACTATTTTCGTGCTCCTGACGCGCAATTAGTGTCGAAGTTGTATCGTGTGTGTGAGTATGTGTGTGTTGTGTAGCTTGTGACAGGATCACACTGTAGCTTTTCAAGCGCTCGGAAATGAAATCGGATTTCATAACGCGAAAAGAGGCGTGTGTTTTCGTAAATAAGAAAGCTCAGCTATAAAGAAGTGTTCTTTTGAAAGTTTGGCTGAGAATTTTTGTTTTTAATGACAATCTTGAAAGACATCTTGATATAAGGATATGTTAATAATATATGAGATATATGAAGAAATTTTCCTCATATTGTTAATATTTATATCTTTCATATTGTGAAAATAAAGAATTAATAATAATACACTTTTCTTTGTAGGGTCACGATACAGTGAGGTTCACCAGAGCTTGCGCACAGTGCCACAAGTGACATTAGTGACAGTTGTCAAAAACAGGCACATTCTTAAACTAAAGCTCGAAGATATGCTTTTTGTTATTGTTAAGAAGCTTGATGAGTGAACAAAAGATTAAGGAATGCTATTCTATTCCATTCCGCTGGATGTCAGATAAGCTGAAAAATGTCTGGTGATTCAGGATGGAGTGTTGTTATTCACCATCCCACAGAGATAGGACTGCAGACTTGGAATTGGGGAGAAAACGATGGAGAGCAAGAGAGAGAGCTCCCCTCGACCGTTGACATGGATGCCATAAAAGGTGGTGGTAGCTGGGGTCCTGCTACTGAACCTAATGGTATTTAGCAATTTTGCATGCAGAAACACACCAACTATATACACACACACAAAACATATAGACATACATAAAGCTAGTTACATAACATTAAGTTTTAAAATATCTGTTATTTTTTGTATTAACCTTTTATTTTATAATATTACTCTCAAGCAACATCGATTTCTCATAAGCTATGTATAAAAACAATAGATATAAGGTGCATTGTTGCTAGAGCAACAATTGGTACCCATTATATTTGTTGATGTCTCAGTTATTTTGATTTTTGCCACTAAATGACAAAAATGAGTGAAAATATGTTTCCAAAATGATATTTTTAAAACAATATAACTGCATTCAGGAAAGGCACTATTTATTTCATTTAACTCACTTCATTCAAAAATTTCTTTCCTTAAATTTTTGTTTAGTCTGCTGAATAAAGGAGTAGATGAAATTTGTAAAAAATAAATTTTGTGGTTGGAAGGATCGGCTGACCATAATATTTATCCCTCCCAACTGCATAATTTATATTCCTTATATCCATTTTCTTCTAATACAAAAAAATAGAGATATTTTCAAATTAAATGCTAAGTAGCTCACTTTGTATATATGCATATATCTATATCGCGCTCATGACCAATTCTCGAAATTATAGGAACAAATTCGATCGATTCCGAAGAAGACTCTGATTCTGACGACGAAAGCTCTGGTGGAACCGAAGGCAGTTGCTCTTATTCAGATTCCAACTCAGAGTCAGACGACGAGAGTAGCGGCGACGAGGAGGAGGGAGACGATAGCGGGTCTAATTCGGATTGCTCCTCCGAGCACAGCGAGCAAACGTTCTCCATTCAAGAAACTAACTTCGAACAGGCATGTGATGACTCAACGTTACATTCCTGAACGTCTTGTTCTCTCCTGAATAACACAATGGTTTCTGTAAAGATGGATAGTTTATTTTATATCGTGTGATTATAGGGTGCATTAAAATTGAAGATCACCATGAAAGGTCCAAAAAAGGAAGAGTCTGAGAAAATCAAATGTGAAAAAGGCAGAAGAAACGTGCCGAAAAGGCTTAAAACTAATCATGGAAACAAGGTAATTGTTTTGTATCAATGCTAAACGCTTACATCAAAGCCAAATCATTAATTGATATTAATTCAATTTTTCTTCAATCTGTTCTGTTTTAACGCGAAAGATGCAGATATTATTATACAATAAATTTCCACAAACACGCTCAGTCCTCAGAATGCAGCAGTGAAGACTCAGACTCGTCCGCGGGCCACGTCACATCACAGCATGCGCAGCAACAACAGTCGCAACAGCATCACGCGCTGCAGGAGATCAACCAGGAGGATCTGACGGCGATCTTACCGCCTCAGGAGCAAGAGGACGCACCATTCGACGGTTTTGAGGATTCTGAGAGCGGCCGGTTGGTGTCGAAAGCGATCGAACGCATGTCGCTTGGCGCGGATTCGGACACTAGCGAGAACGGCGATCAGAACCCCGTGCCCGTGTACAGTTCGGCTCTACTACAGCAATTCGTGGAGAAGACCGCGCTGCTGTCGGAACCGCGCAAAAGGCGCAGTAAGTTGGGTAAGAAGCTGAACGACAGTGAGTATCCCTGTGTGTCAAACGTGTCGCCCGATTCCGGCATTCAATCGGTGGATAACAGTCCTCTGCATCTAGCGATCAGTCCTGTGAGCCCGCTGGCGCAGACCCAATCCCCGATTCAGCCGCCGGTTGTTACTAAACCGGCGGTGAATGTCGATCGCGTTCTATATCCCCCTAAACGGAAACCGGGCAGGCCGGCGAAGACGGTGTCCGCCATGCAGCCGCGTGGGCCCGGTAGGCCGCGTTTAAAACCAGAGATTGCCGAGAAGACAGAGAAGAAGGAGGCAATCTCGGCGAAGAGCGCGAAGCAAGAGGTAGTGTCCGCGGTAAAGAAACGTGGCAAAGCGAAGTCGCTCTCGTACAAGCCCACGCAAGCGTCTAGGGAGCAGAAAGAAGAAAGCGCACCCGCCGCAAGCAAACGAACGATGAAAGCTAAGCCGACGTATCAAAAGAAACGCTATGGCCCGCCTGCAAAACTATCGCAGGAAAAGACGGGAATGGTAAAGAAGGCGGGGACGACCACGAACGTCCCGATGCGAGTAAAGTGCCTAAGCAGATCCACCGCGAGCAAGCTGCTGCCTCAGTGTGACGGTAGGACCTGCAGGAAAGTCAGACAAGACAGGACGAATGTGCCTAATAGTAAGACCACGACCCCGTTGACGCGACAAAGACAGATGTCCTGTGAACAGGTTGCCAACGACCAGAAGGCGCCAGTGAGCGGTGCCAATAAGCGAAGTTCTAAGGAGAACCGCAATAATACAGCAGCCCTGTCCAGAAAGCAAAACTTGGCGAAGAAGGCCGCCCCATCGGTCAACACGAGACGCGTGTTAAAGGAGAACAAATGCAACAAGAAGGCCACCAGCGCTTCTGGATTCGAGACGAGCGGCGTAGGCGTGCAGACGTTAATTTCCTTGCCGGTGGGTGACATACTGAAAGCTGAGAACACAGAGCGCGTGTCCAACAAGTGCGACAAGGCGACGCAGCCGGCACACAACAACCATTGCCACAAGCATCATCACCACAAACATCGCCGGAGACTGCTCGCACCTCCTAAGAACCCGATTCGCATCAATCCGTGTATCATTCAGGAGATGGAGAAGCTGATCGAAGAGTTTACAAGGTCGTGCAGCTTGGGCAGGAACAACGCCGGCGCAAATCACCCCGAATTGCCGCAGATCTTTCGCGTGAAGAAGGTCACGAAGAAAAGGAAAGGCGACGTGAACGCGGGCGACGATCAGAAGATGAAGCGGCGGCTGAAGAAGGAGAAAGTGCTCGCCGGCGCGGACTCCAAGAGCAGCGCGAACACCAGCACAAATTCGAACCCTAACGAACAAAGGCTGCCGTTGAAGAAGCGCCACTACCACGTGTCAAGCCCTCACAGCTCCCAGAGCTCAAACGCGAGTTGTGCGGACACGAACGTGAACGAGTCTAACTCGACAGAGAATCACATCGAGGAAGCGATCGAGGCCACCATCACCAGGTATGGCGGCAGCTCCGCATCTTCCGTTCACGAAGAGGCAACGCCGGTGACACCGAAGAAGAGACTTCGGGATGCGGACAACGCAGTGCTCGATAAGCAGAGCAGTGATGTCTCCGAGGATAAGCCTGCCGCCCAGTCGGAAGTGCAACCACGCCGGAAGAAGAAGATTGTCAAGGACCTTCGTGTTACCGTGACGAAGTTGCCGACCGAGAGCCATGGTGGCATCCTTGACAAAGGTGACAAAGCGGACAAGTCCGTGGAAAAGAGCTCCAAGGTCTCCACGGAAAAATCCACCAAGGCCGAAAAGACGACGGCCTTGGCCGAACGTTCAATGAAGGCCGACAAAGCACAACCGGATGACAAGCTCGATGTCGAGCATGTTCGCGCGGAGAAGAGCATTAAGGTCGACTCGGAGTTGCATGTTTCCGAGGCACTCGATGATGCTGAGACTGTTAGCGAGAGCAAAGTGATCGCTCGTGTCGGTAACGCGAACATGCCGAATCTCATGAACAATACCGCGGCGATGATTCTCACAAAAAAGAAGATGAGGCGACGGAAGACTATCAATCGCACGGGTTTCCCCACTCTGAAGAAGAAAAAGAAGAAGAAGGAGGTCGTCAACGATTCTTCCGCAAGCAATAACCCGTTGATCAACCTCGTTAAGGCGTTGAGCAACGACTCGCGCATAGAAACGCCTCTGACGACAACAGAGGATAATAAAGTGTCGTTATTAGAGAATGATGCTCAAAACGCTGTCTTGGAAAGCAGTGAAGACAAACGGAATGCTCGCGGCGACGTAAAGAACTTCGACAATTCCAGCACCGCGCAAGAGACGTCCAGCCGGAGCGGCTCAGATGAGGTGACCGAGACCTGTACCGGTCAGTTGAGAGTCCGCAAGGACCTCGTGGAGTCTGACAGCAGCGTGTTGTCCGACAAGCTGTATCCGGTGAAATACGAAAAACTTCAGGACTGTCGTACCTATGACGAGAATGTGTCTCTGGAAGAGTCCTTGGAGCGGTACAACCAGAGCCAACGCATCGCCGAGCTCAGCGAGGAGAATCTTCGGAAACTGGAACGTGCGAACGCACAGGCAGCGAGTGTCAAAATGGAATTGTCTAGTTGTTTCAATAACAATCACAAGAGAAGGAGAGGCTCGGCCAGTCCTTCCAATTTAGGTCCCAGGAGCGCGAAGAGACTGAGGAGCGGTGGATACGACACAGAGAGTGAAGCGCCTCCTAGCAGCGACGTAGCCAGCGAGGATCAGGAAGTGAGGAAACCCGTCGGTGCCACGCACAACCGGAAGAAGCAGTCGAGATGGAAGAAGCGATACTTCCATACCAATTGTGTGTTCTCCGAGTACAACAAAAAGATCATGTGCGATTGCCTGCAGCATTGCGCCACGTTACCGCCCAATGTGTATCATTGCGGGAAGCTGCTGCGACAGAGGAAAATGCCGGGTCAACTGCACTACGAGTGGTTGAACGCGCAGCCGAGGCAACTGCAATCGCTAGCCCAGCCATTACTGCAACAACAACCGCAGCAAAAAAGTCAGAAAAAGGTGCCATCATGGAATTACAAGTGAGCAAAGTTTTCTCCCGCTTACCTTGAGACGTTTCACTCGCGCTTTCTTCAATTTCGATTCTGGCCATAACGATTGCTGTAAATCGTGCGCGTAACGCGAACAAATAAGTTTTATTTCTCTTCCTGCAGGAAAATCCGGACGAATATCTATTATGACGTTAAGCCGACCACTCTGTACGAAGCGCAGGCCTGCGAATGCAAGCCGGAGAGTGGCTGCGGCGACGATTGCATCAACCGTATGGTGTTCAGCGAATGTTCGCCGCAATTGTGCCCCTGCGGCGACAAGTGTAAAAATCAGAAGATCCAAAAGCATGAGTGGTCACCGGGATTACAGAGGTTTATGACCAAGGATAAGGGATTGGGAGTGAGAACGCAGCAAGCTATCAAATCTGGCAACTTTATCCTTGAATACGTCGGTGAGGTTGTGTCGGAGCGGGAGTTCAAGTCGAGGATGGCGACCAGGTATGCTTCGAGCTTTTCACGTGTTAACACGTTAGCCCTTGTCCACAACCTTGTTTTAAGATGTAGATCGTAAGAAATTGACTAACTACAGTCGATTGTTCTTCTAAAAATCGACTATGGTTGGTCAATTTCTTACGGCTTACATCTTAAAGCAAGGTTGTGGACAAAGGCTTAAGAATACCCGGGAACTATAACTTCCTTTGGATGCCCGAAAGAAACATTTTGATTCCTTGTGATTCTAATTTCTAATATTTTAAGAATCTCTTTCTATTTCTCATTACTCGTATCAATAACTTCCAAACATTTTAAGAATATAATTAAAAGTCACAAGATATTTTTTCCCTAAATCACGAGAAACAGAAATAACGACAATAAGACCTTAAAGGAGTCAAATACCAACTTTATTGGGTATTCTAATGTTAAGGGAAACCTCTGGTTTAGGTAGTCGAAAAATAGAAGACTTTTACGAATTTTTTTTCAACAAAATGAATAAAGATATCAATATAGGGTTTTAGCCATACTATTTGTTATTGTGTTTTAAATATAAAAAAAAAGACTTAAAAAGAAATCGAAATTTTATCCAGGTTTTTTATGCTAAATACAATGATACCAAACACCTAATGGACAACAGCTCATATAATAACCTAAAATAAATAGGACAAAAAATTTTTTAAACTATATTAAATTTGCTAGAGAATAAATCTAAGTTCTTTAGAAAATTTCCAAAAGTATATAATTATGATCAAAGATAAAAAAAGAGATTGAGAAATAATTAGTTTTTTTTAGTGTACTGAATAAAGAACAAAGAGGAAAAATTACTTATAATTTTCAAGTGCCACCATTTTGTTAAATTTCGACTTTCTATATGCAACAAAGATTCATCCTTCAACAAATTTAATAGAATCTTTAAATTTTCTTATTTATTTGTTTCAGATGGTTTATTTATTTCAGGTTAAAGCTGTAATGTTCATTAGTTAGAAACATCCGGCGATACCGCACTCAGCACAAAAAATCTAAACAAAATTTCAATTTTTTAAATAAAAAAAATTTTTATACGTAAAACTGATAAATAATATGGTCTAAACTTTATATTGATATCTTTATATTTGTTTCTTTGAAAAAATTCATAAAAACATTCTATTTTTTCATTTATTTAAACTAAAACCTTCCATTAAGAGGTCGGAAACTCTCGAAAAAGAATTTTTATTATATTATATTTATTTTTATTATATTATTTTATTATATTTATTATATTATTTATTATATTATTTTTATTATATTATATTGTTTTTTATTTATTATTTATTTATATTGTGAAAGTTATATTGTTGGAAGTTATATTAAAGTTATTTAGTGGACTTTATATTTTCATATTTATCTTTATTGTGAAATTGTAAAATACACGATAAAAGGACACGTTAATGTGAAGATAAGCAACAGAATGTTCAAATTAATAATTACAGGTACGCTAGTGATACTCATCATTATTGTTTACACTTGGACGGAGGATTGGTGATTGATGGTCATCGTATGGGCGGCGATGGCAGATTCGTCAATCATTCCTGCGAGCCCAATTGTGAAATGCAAAAATGGAGTGTTCACGGACTACCGCGCATGGCATTATTCGCATCGAGGGATATTAAACCGGGCGAGGAGCTGACATACGATTACAATTTCGCGTTATTTAATCCATCGGAAGGACAACAGTGCAGATGCGGTAGTAGCGCCTGCAGAGGTGTCATAGGTAAATCAATAAATGAGAAAAAAATAGAAAATTCATCACGTAAAGTAAATGTCCCAATAACCGAACAGCCAGCGACGGCTAAAATCGCTTAATTCTTGTAAGAATATACGATGTTTAATGACATAATTATATAATTAATTAAAAACTGAAATAATTATTTAAAAGCTGAACATATAATTTATTATTAGCATATGAAGAGCTTTTAAGTTACTTTAAAAGTAATATTTTAAAATAATATTTTAAGATATAATTTAAAAATAATATTAATCGCACTTTAATATCAGATTGCTAAACTTTTTTGACCCGGTATCCAGACATAATTATCATACAAGTAAAATTATTTCTTGACTATTTATGACAATTCTATAGTGACGGTTATTTATTCACTAAACTACATATTTAATATAAAATAACTTCTAATTTTTTTAATGCTACAATTCTAAATAAAATCGTGAGATTCGCAACTTGCTCTCATAAAGTTCATAACAACTTATGAGTAGATTTACAATTCTATACGTATCATATGTCGTACGATTTCTCGTAAATATCTACGATTTCATGTAACTTACGATATTTACAAGTAATTGTACGATATATGATTATATGATATGCACAAAATTGTAAATTAATTATTATTATTAATTGTAAATTGTAAATTTACTCATAAGTTCTTACGAATTTTACAAGAACAAGTTACGAGACTTACGATTCTGCTTAGAATTTTCAGTATAAATAATGATAAGCGCGAACGTCTAGATACAAGGATATATTCGGCAATCGGCACATCTACCTCATGTGTTCAGATGCTTCCAACTATAAATTCTGCATTGCAGGTGGCAAGAGTCAAAGGGTAGCTCGAAGTATACCCTCATTACCGTCGCAGGCGGAATCCACCGAGAGGAGATCAGTCGGAAGACCGCGGAAGAACGTTCGAAAGTCGAATACGGTGCAGTCGGCGAACTCAAAGAGTATGTGCAAATCCCGCAAAATGGGAGACACAACCTTGACGCACGCCCCATTGTTGAGACCGATGTCTTACCAGCAACGATGTTTCGCGCGGGAGCATCACTGCTTCCTGCTGCGGAACCTGGAAAAGGTGCGCCGACTGAAATCGTCGGTACAGCAGTCGGTGCACGTGCAGAACGGGAAGACGAAGTTCGGTAACGCGAGAGACACGAAGGACAAAGCTGCCGGAGACTCGAAAGCGCAATCCGACGCGTTCTTCTCGCAATTAACCGCGCTGACGAACACGAACGCACGAACGGTGCGAACGCGTAGACTCGCACAAGCGCAGGACGACCCGGAAGTACATAAGACTGCAAAATTAGCTAAGGTAAGCGAACGATTCGTATTTTAGTCGAAACATTTAAGGTAAAAGTACCAATTTCCGGACACGTATCTTTTTATTTTGGTCTTTGAATACAAATATTTAAATTTCCAGCATGGAATATATGTAAATACTCAATATTTGTATATATATTTTATGTTGAAAGTTTAAATATTTAAAGACCAAACCTCCCCAAGGATATATCAAAGAAGAATGTACCAGGATTAGGTACATTAGGCATCTGAGCATTGATATTTTTACTTTAATATATTGGCTGCCACGTATTACGTAAGTGTAATACACTAACATTCCTTTAGAAGCACTAGGTTATATAGATGGAATATTGTATCTACTGAGCAGCTTTCAGAAATTTGTAACACTAATACTAAACATATTTTTCTAATGTAAGGAATTAATTATCCAAAAAGAGTTCTTTTACTGTCAGTATGGCAAGTTTTTTCGAAAATATCATAGCAGTCAACGTCTTAAGCCTGATTGCACCAACCGAGTGGTAAATTAACTAACAGTTAAAATATATGTCTGCCTTTATTTTGAAGGACAGACATATGACAGAAAAACAGACATATTATTTAATTATTAATTAACTTATCACTCAGTTAGTGCAGTCGGATCTTAATCTTTTATTGTAGCACACACATACACACACATATACACTCTCTATCTCTAGATCTATAAGACTCAATTTTTCTGATATAACCTTACTTAAATATTTAACATATGCTTATCCAATGTTATATCAGATATTACAATCTTGAATGTACAAAAAGTAGATTCAAAAAATTATTATTTTTAGATTTAAGGCTTCTAGGTACTCGTATCGATTATCCTTGTTTAATAACGTCAGAAGTGAGAAATCGTATACTCATGATTCTTGCGTTATATGTTGAAATAAAAAGATATATCTATAAAACGACACTTGTGATTGATTCAGCAAATTTGTAAAGTTCTCTAAACGCTCCCCTTTTGCTATTAAAATTGATAAATGTAAAATTAGTGTGGCATGCAACTCAAGTTTTAAACAAACTTTTCTCATTATTTCTGTTATGTTAATTTTATGGTTATTTGTTGATTGTGACAGTAAAAAAAGTGTTTGGAGCATTTTACAATATTGCTGAATCGATTACGAGTGTTGTTATATGGATATATCTTTTTATTTTAACGAATAACGCAAGAGAATCGTAGGCATGCGATTTTTCGCTTCTGATGTTATCAAACAAGGACAATCTATGCGAATACCCAGGGTCTTTAAGACAATTTTAGACTTTTGATCCTTCACTGCAACCATTTCGATTTGTGACGTTAGAGGTGAGAAAATACACGCTAAAAATTCTTGCAAAATACGTTAAAATAAAATATGTTTACAAAATAATATTTGTAATTGATTGAGCAAATCCGTTAGTTTGCTTTTACTCTAACAATAAATAACTGTAAAATTAATGTGACAAAATTATAAGAGAAAGTAGATTAAAGGGAAAAGTTACGTGTCATATTAATTTTATGGTTATTTATTGATTGTTTGAACAAAAAGAAAATGTTTTAATTATTTTATAAGTCTGCTTGATCGATTGAAAATGTTTTATAGATATATATTTTTATTTCAACGTATTCTGCAAGAATTTTTAGCGTATATTTTCTCGCTTTCGATCAATCCAGAGTTCCGCAATGAGGAGCCAGGAGTCTTAAGGTATAAGAGAAGATGATGTATTGATTCTATATTATAAAAAGAAGTAAACAATTTTTACGTACTTTAAGCAAATATATAATTCTATACAGTTTACATAAATAATAATTTTGAATTTAACTGTGAAATCTCTTTTAATTTAGATCTCGCTTAAGCCAGTTTGACCTGCTAAACTAAGGTTCAAGTAGAGCGTCATCTTTGTAACGATCTTTCTTCTTGCAGGTATTAAAAGACTTGTACACAATCGTTGCGACGACGAATGACGAGAACGGGCAACTGTTGTGCACACCGTTTATGACCTTACCCCCAAAGAGAAAATTGCCGGATTATTACGAGAAGATCACGGAGCCCATCGACTTGAACACGATAGATCAATGCATCGGCACCGGTCATTATAAGACTGCGGAGCACTTCGATCATGATATGATAAGGCTTTTTGACAACAACGTGAGGTTCTTCGGCAGGACGTCGGAAATCGGGATCGCCGCGGCGAGATTACGAAAATTGTACCTGGGAAGTAAGCCTGATTTCGTGGACGCTATAACGGAAGCGATGGGCTCTCCGCCGTCGCAAGGCTTCTTGCCACCTCGTGGTTCCACAGCTGGGGAAGAAGATGTGATTAGATGTATTTGCGGATTACACAGGTACACATCGATCCTCTGTTTTAGTTTCTTCTCAGTTTTACGCAGCAGTTATCATATGTATATTAGTGTACGTATCATTATTATTATTGTAATTATATATATTTTGTTATATTTTATAGGTTTCCATTTAATAATACAAATTGATACAAGCATCATCCTATCTTTGTTACTCATTGTAACAAAGACAGAATGATGCTTATGTCGACTTGTGTTATTAAATGGAAAGCATCCTATATACATATATTGAATATATAATAGTTGTGTTTATATAAGTATATCTTACCGATGGTTCTATTCAGGGACGAAGGCTTGATGATCCAGTGCGAGCGTTGTCTCGTTTGGCAGCATTGTGACTGCGTAAAAGCGGACACCAGCGTCGAGTCTTACTTGTGTGAGAGATGTCAGCCGCGCGAGGTCGATTTAGAGATTCCATTAGAGCTAGAAGTTCCGACAGACTGCGACGAAGAGGAGAAAGGCAAGAAACACTATGTGACATTACTGCGGGGCGACCTGCAGCTCCGACAAGGCGATACAGTATATGTCCTCAGAGACACACCCGAAAAGCATACGTATAAAACCATACAGAAGCCTGACTATGAGCAAATGGACATTTTCAGAATCGAGCGTCTTTGGAAAAACGCTGCGTAAGCGATTTCTATATAGAATTACCTATTTTATTTATATTCCTATATGTTACATATACAGGGTGTCTCACACTCTCCTCCGGGCATTTTGCGGGGACGCATAACAGGTTGAGGTGTAAAAGTCCTATACTATTTTGCGATATTCGCAATAATTATCGAGATATTAATTGTAGAAAATTTGTGAATGATCATGCAGGATATGGTAAATGAGTTATAAAAGCGACGACTGCCATCGTGTACTTATAGGTGTACTTTAGGTCAAATTGAACAAAAAAGTCCTCTACCATTTTGCAAATAATCACATAGATTTTTAATTATTAATTAAAGAAGATGAGTGCATTATCACGCAAAATCGTGCAATAATCTTCTTCAATTAATAATTAAAAATCTATGTGATTATTTGGAAAATGGTAGAGGATTTTTTTGTTCAATTTGACCTAAAATATAAGTACACAACGGCAGTCGTCGCTACTATAACTCATTTATCATATTTTGCATGATTTTACAAGTTTTCATTACAAGTTACATTTATTTACAAGTTTTCTACAATTAATATCTCAATAATTATTGCGAATATCGCATAGGACTTTTATGTTCACCTCAACCTGTTTTACGTCCCCACAAAATGCCCGGAGGAGAGTGTGAGACATCCTATATATGATTATAAGTAATATTTATGTTTCTGTATATATTTTTCAACATTATTGGTTTGTATAATACGTATAATTTTGAATTTTTCAGATGAAATGTTTATATTTTTATGTCATAATTTTATGAAATGATATGCAAAGGATGAAACAGAAGACCAAATATATACATTGTTTCATAAAATTATAAGGACAAAAATATAATCGTTTTATTTTATCTGAAAAATTCAAAATTATTTATCGCACAACTCAATTATAGTATATTTATGTAATATATTTATTTTATAGTACAGATATATAATATATTGATAAATCGGCCGAAATATAGAACATTGATTTAGTCATTGCATTAATGCTGAAACTAAATTTTTTGTTGAACAGAGGCGAGAGATTTGTGTTCGGGCATCATTATCTGAGACCTCACGAGACATATCACGAACCGACGCGGAAGTTCTACGTGAACGAAGTTGTGTGCGCTCCGTTGTACGAGGCTGTCCCTTGCGATCTCGTGGCCGAGCGTTGCTGGGTACTCGATCCTCACACTTTCTGCAAAGGTGCGCACTACTGGCTCTATTCAGTCGTTTACGATGTCATCGATTATCGCTTTGTTATCTGACGAACATTAACTTCACTCTCCTAACGTCTCTTTCGACTTCAGGTCGCCCGGTCGGTTCTACTGCTGAACATACATACGTGTGTGAATATCGTGTTGATCGTGCTGCGCGACTCTTCACGAAAGTGTCTCGAGCCAGGCATCAAGTATGCACAAAACCATACGCATTCGAAACCTTCCCACAGCGTATAAAACATTATCGTACTTACTTGGTAAGTGTTTTTTTAATAAAAGATCTTTTATTTCTAAAAGATTACTAAATTTTAAAAAATTCCTCCTAAACACTTTGTTTATATTTTATTATATATTGTTCACAGAGTTGTAAAAATATTAATTGTTTCTTAATTTAATAGTTTATGTCAACAAATATGTTTTAATTCAACTAATTGACGATTGATCCAAACAAAATCAACCGAAAAGTATTTAATTAATAATTGATTTCAACGAATTCAATCAAGCACCGTTTAATTGAAGACTTATTTGAGCAAAAGAAATAAAAAATCATTTAATTAACAATTAAACTTAGCAAATTTAATCAAAGGCTGTTTGTTTGAGGATTAAACTTAGCAAATTAAATTAAATACTGTTTAATTTACGATTGATACGAGCAAATTCAATCAATTACTCAAAGTTACAATTGGTTTGAATAATATTTATTCTCAGAGCATCGTGGAAAATGCTGATGATTGAGTAGACCTGCTTTGAAAAGAGCAATGAGCGTATTAATCGTCATCAAATCTTCGATACAATCTTCGATTGAATCGACTGAATTTGCTCATATTAATCGCTAATTAAACACCTTTTAATTAAATATGCTAAATTTAATCGTCAATTAAGCGACTTTTAATTAAATTTGCTAAGTTTAGTTATTAATTGAATGATCTTTAATTCCCTTTGCTTGTATCAATTGTCAATCGAACAGTTTTCGATTGAATTTGTTGAGACTAATTGTCGATTAAACGGTCTTCAATTAAATTGGCTCATATTAATCGTCAATTAAACACGATAACTAATTAAACAAATAATTAATTACTCGCAACCCTGATTGTTTATAGCCTCACAGCCTCGAAGGAATTCAACTTGGCAAAAAGTTCTTCTTGTCGAAAGACAAGAAGAAGAATAATAACAATCACGAGGTAGACGGGAATCAGAAAATGGAATCCGGTGACAACACGAAGGCGCCCAACAAAGAGCCCAAATGCGCCAGTGGTACCAGGACCAGACGAAGATCGGGTGGCGATATCTTGACGATCGCAACATCCACAACGTCATATATTCAGGTAATAATCACACGTGGCAATCGCATTGTGATTTTCACAAGTGTCGTTTTTAATGATTTATTCAATTTTAATCTAATTTTCAGAGGGAAGATCAGAAGAAGCGACTAAACAGTATCCTCCTACATCTACTGCAAAAAATGCCGAATAAAAAAGACCCGTTGGATTTGTCTTTCCTTTTAGAAAGAAATAGACGAAACCGAAAAAGACCCGGCGGGCTCAATCCGTGACAATGGGTAATATCGCAACGATAATACCGGTACTGTATATGAGCTAGACGACCTTCTGCTAACATCAATCTCAGTCAGAATAATTTAAGCTAAGTTAGATATAAGGTTAATCCGTTCTAAACTCGGTTCTGCTATAGGTCAAGGTCATTGTATATCCTTCTCCCTTAACGAGGAAAGCATCAGAGAAATGAGGAAAGTGTGTGACTCCTCTTCGTATAACCCGTCCATTGATATAATTTATATCAATATCGTAGAGAGTCGAGAGTAAAATATTCGTTATCAGAACAATTATCAGTCGGTATTTTTCTTATGATTTCTTTTATATCCTCTTTTTTTCCTTTTATAGATCAGGCTAAGTATTATCTATTCGATTTGCTTCCGAATAGGTTTTTTGTTATCTATAACGAGTCTTGACTCACGATATTCAGTCAATCACGTTACGAGTAACTTATGAGTACTCAGAATTCAGTGTACCATGTTAATTTCACTCCAGTTAGAGGGTATTTAGCGAAGGAGAGCTAGTTAATCGTTTCTCCCAACAGCAAATAATGAGCTATTACGTTATTAATATAATTATGACTCACGTACTCTTGTATAGAATCGTTTGTATAGCTTTTTTTCATAGTTATTATTTCATAGTAATGATTATAGCTGAATGTACAAATTACAAAGTTACAATTACAAGTTATACGGGATAAAACTCCTAAAATGGGATAAACGTTATATCCAGTGTGAGATGTAGAAAATATCGGTATAAATAACGCGCGTGCGCGCGCGCGCGCGTATATGCGTGTGTGTATGAGTGATTGATGCTTTACTGCACAGAAGTAATATTATATTTTTCATAATCCCGGTGTGTGTTATTCAAATCAAATGTAACATATAACTTTCTCCAGTTTACGGAAGAATCTTTACGCGAATGTATATTTAATTTATTGATATATATTGAATTATTGTAGTCGAACGCGACTGGACGGCGGTCGCAGTGATTCCAATATTGTATATATGTACTCGCTGCGCTCCATATTTATTATTGCATTACACAGTATGGTAGATACATCTTATGATATATAAATATCTTTAATATACGCCTTACTTCTTTCATTCTTCTTTTTGTTCGTATGAGACTATCCTATAAAGTAGACTTTACTTTTATGAAAATTTTCTCATAGTATTATGTTTCCATTGACGTAAGACTAAAACGCACATATATGTAAATAATATATTATTTTAATATAATATATTAATGTATATATTATATTATTATACATATATGTTTATATATATATATATATACCTATATATATTTATATGCATATTAGAAGTAGTGCAGTAACACGCTTTTGTGTATATTGAGCGCACGAAATTAATACGAGAGCTATTTATTTTATTTAAATAACAATCCTCAATTCTTTTCAGGAAATTAAATTGTAATAGGCGTATATAAGAGCTCAACACGCAAATTCCATACAAAGTGCGTAACTAACGAAGAATAGAAACTATAAGAAACAGAATAAAACATGATATGAGATGTTACAAAAGTTTCGGTCTTATTTTTGGACGCTTCTCAATGCAAAGTAAATACCGTTACATAATCGATATGATGCAATCGTCAATAGTTTACGGAAAAAAAGTAGTAGAGTTGTGTAAAAAAGCGAATAGATCTAATAAAACGGAAACATTTTGTTGACATTGCATCGGGTTTTGCTTCATATTATGACCGATAATTTTTTCTTTGTTTTACGCATTTAGAACTTGCGTTCGCTTCTTAGGCCTATCGCAATCTTATTTCTCTGATTGTATATTATACCATATCAAGTATAAGAGCTTTATTTATAATTTTTCTTCTAATTTTTTTTCTTTTGGCAACAAGCGCTTGCGCATTTCTATTCGATGTATCTCTATGTAATATCATCAAAATATTTATTATATTGTGTAATCCAAAAATAAAAGAAATAGGAAAGGTAAGGAGAATACTAAACTTCGAAGCTGGCCTTCTAACGTAAGCTGACGTAATATAGGAGAAAGAGAGAAACACGCGGTGTGTGTGAGCTGTTTTTAAATTAGATTCAAAGCGTTATTACCGACCCGAGTTCGCATTCGTTGGTTTTCGGAGAAGCGTATATCGAGAAGAGGACGACATTGGACACGCGGAACGATATCGTCGCGCATCTTTTCCATGACACGAAAGAAGAGGCGGGGGGAGAAGCAGGAGGAAGTTGCATCATTTTTCCATTCGATTATATCGATGCGATTATCGTCCGTTTAAGAATAACGTAAGGAATGCAACGTATATTTGTATCATATTGATATCGAAGACAACGACGGCAATAATTGAGAGGATATATTAGTTTATTCTAAAATATATAGTTGCGATCTTACACGGCGTCTATATATCATTATTACGCACGAGTGTATATTCTGTGCGAGGTGTTTTCCAGCTACTCAAAATTATTATTTTACTAATCGTACATTCTTTCTGCTTTTCTTTCCTTTCTTAACGCATTCGAACGCTGTACTACACGACGTATTTTTTTTTTTGTAATAATATCCGAATGAGTCGCGCGATGCCAGATGGATGCGGAACCTCTTTTCTTTTCTCTTCTTCTCGATTTCATGCGATAACGACATTAACAAAGTTACGGTGATATGTGTAACATCGAGTTTTAACCAAACGCAGCTTCGTCGAAAGCTTATTGTGCGACTGCACACTACGACACAAATTATATTACTGAACGTGTTTCGTACAATATTAAGCAGACATTATTATATCACGCAGCTTATAATTTTGCCGGGCTTCCGCTCAGTATAACGTGTCATCACTCGATCATGTATTAATTTTATCGATTCACATGTTATCGGCTAAGAGCGATAAGGTCGATCGAGATATATAATGTATCGCGCGCAATAAAAGGATCATTGTATTTTCGTACTTGAAGATCGGTAAGGTGCGATTATTTCTTTCACGTCTAGGATATATCTTTCGTTTTATATGTTTACTAAATCACTCTGATCGTGAGAAAAAGCGCGGCTACTCTACTCTCATATCAAGCGATTTCGTGCACTTGATTTCAATGCACAATTTGAACTCTTCTCTTTTTTTTCGAGTAGCAACATTAGGACGCGGCTCCAACGGTCCGATGAGAGAACTTATAACATCTGAAAATTAATCAAAAACAAGTTCTCTCACCGAATAATCGGCTGCGTTCCAAACTATAACTCGAAAGAAAAAAAGTGATTCAACCGTATTGGAATTAAGTTTGCACACCTCCATTAAGCGACATTTTTTTCTTTTTCTCCCTTTCATTTTTTCTTTAAATTGTCGTACACGTATATTAGTACGACACGAGATGCATTAATGACATTTTTCCTTTGTTTTCCTCTTTTTTTGATCAATCGATCATTCATAACAGTAGCTGTGTAATAACTTGCCTCTTGAGTTCGCTTACATATAATTAACACACTATTATAACATTTAGATATAATCAAAAGACACGAGAGAGAGAGAGAGAGAAAGAGAGAAAGAAAGAAAGAAAACGAATTATTGTTGCGACGACAGGCTTTCAGCTACCTATGTAGTGCATGTACAGACCATTGTATTGTACTCTGATGAACACAAATACACGTGAAGTTTCCTTATATTACATAGTCTGCCACGCGTATTATTGCTTAACGATCTGTCGACCTTCCTCTTTGAAGGCGCCGTAGTATAGGGTATGCGCGCGATGGATCTCGATCTAAATGTACACAAGACTGAGAATCGCCGCCTCTATACACAGAATAAACAATCCTAGCATATTATTGTTACGCACCCATGAACACGCACGCACATATGCACGCACATACGTATTACGCGAGAGAGTATGGTTGTAAAATACAGGTGAAAGCCAAAATAAATAGAAGAAACTTTTTATTTTTATGAATAAGTTTGTACATTTTTGTCAACAATTAAGTTTATAGATTATATACTGATTTTTTTTGTTTCCGTCATATAGAAAAGGATCGACTACGAATGATCGTATTACCCAGTGTGACCCACGAATACGTTGGTAGTAGCAGAAAGATTGCAACATTCTTTCCTCGATGAGTCTTAGAACGCATCTGACGTTCTTCAACAAGAAAATTGATCTTACGAGAATGATTGGACAATAAATTCTTCTATTGTACATACAGAGGCGTTACGAAACTCATTGCGGAGAAAGCAAGAAAAAGAATAATTGCAAGCCTTCTGCCACTGACTAAACATCGTGCGGCTCTGTTTTCTTCGCTTATGGTAACACACAGAGGTACTAATTAATATACACTACGTGTAGGTTAAATAGAACTTCTAATTATTTCTTAAAAAATAACTTGCTTCTCCCTCCTTGCCCTCTCTCTCACACATTCACACATACACGCCTTTCTTCTCCGTTCCTCTCATTTTCTAAATGTTATCTCATTACTTTTCTCGCCCTATAACTCTGTGTATCGTTATTTAATCGTTAAATTATTTTCGAATTCACATAGAAGTACATGTAGCTCGCAACATCACACATTGTACAATACGTTCTCTAAACTAATGTGACAATCATTCCGCGAACGTAACATAGAAAAGGGAGGATCTCCTCCGCAAGTGAGTGAAGCAGCGAAACGCGACGAGACAGATTGTCCACTTTGCTCGTGAGATTTCTCTTGGGCGTTCATCACTTTCAATCAGCACAATCGATTAAAAGGGCGATACACGACATATTATTAATTGTACAATCTTCGTGAATCCACGTGTAAATTGCGAGCGATTAAAATCGTACTATTAAGGATCGACTGTTCCAACCTCTTGGTAAACTATCTAACAGTTAAACCATGTGTCTGTTCGTCTAATTTAAAGAAAAAACAGAGACAAACATGTGATTTAACTATCAGATAGGTTGCCAAAAAGTTGGAACAATCGACCCTAATATTCTCAGAATCAATGATGATGAAATATATATATATCGCATATAAATATATATATATATATATATGTGTGTGTGTG